GTTAACGAATAACTTTTCATTTAAAATGTCGAATATTTTTGTCCAACCAAATATCCACTTAAACATACATATTACTCATATTATATTTTCATACTGTATGAGTTATATTAAAGTAAGTTTTTGTTTATGAATGAATTCCAATAAAATTTTGTTTTAGGACGACGTGGAAAAAGCAATAGTGTGATAGGAAAGTCAAAATGTTCCCGCTTCTGCATGACAACAAGTACTGGTTCTTATATAAAACCTCGACGATGTGAGAAAGCCAGAGGAAGAAGAAGTATGTTTCATATTTTGCTGTTAAAAAAAACATATCATCTCAAGTTACTGATCAACTCGAAACTTGAAGGAAAAATTCTTTATTTAATTAATGAGATGATTTGTATACCTTGTCATGACCTTAATCTATCAATATTTTTTCGGGTGTTTCCATATTGCCAATATCATGAAATTAAATATTTTCATTTTTTTTTCAGATAAAAGAAATTGCAAATTGTGCAGAGATAAAATTTGCCCCATTGCAGGTTTTTGATAATAATAAACGGATTTGCGATTTTGTACATTTTTACACGATTGTTTAGTGATATGTTTTAAAATGTTAAAAAACCATTTTACATTATTGATGTTCGATGTGTCTGATCTCATTTTTAATTTGTATCCAAATGTTTTTGCTGTCATTGATTAACTCGTTACTGCACAATCATCGTCGTACTACTTTAGCCAGTATATTTATCTGCTTCATAAGTCATACGTGTGTGTATGTGCTCGATTAAACCTGGTTGAGGTATGGATTCTATAAATGCAGTGTTCATTATTTTTTGTTTTTTAGTATATTTTTAGCATATCAAAAATTGAACAAGATGTATCTTGTCTGTAAATCGAAGACTCCAGTGTTAAATTGTACGTTTTATTTTTTGCTGAAAAATAGATCTTTTATGTTGTTACTTTATTTTGAAATATACTGTGTATGTAAATATATAATTCTCAAATAATTGGTGTTTTGACATAATTTAATATTTAAGTTCTGATGGTCAACTTTTACCATATCCTGAACTTTTAGCACTCATCGCCGCCGACGACGCTGTAACAATTTAAAAACAAATTAACATATCTGTAAGTTTTTAAAATTAAGGGTTTCATTATTAAAACAGAAATGCTTGCTTTGAGATTTGATTAAGTAACAATATTATATATTACACAGTCAGTTTCGTATATATATTTTAGGTAGTTATATATTTTGCAAGTGTAGTGGATACTCGATGACGAACTTGATTACTTACAAACTTTGACTCACATCACATTCATTGTATTTTATCAGACGCGGAAACGATTCAATCGAATTGCCATCAACATACAGTATATTCATATACAGAAATATAAACACGAGTAACAAACAAGCATTCTTTAACGCACAATATTGAAATTTCTAGTCAGGCTATTTTTGCAAACTTTTTTCAACGGCGATTGAATCAAAATACCAAACGTCTTTATTTTACGTAGTTTATAATCTACACTCCACACCAAAAACAATTTATTTAGAAAAAGAAGTCGCCATATGCTTATTATATAATTGTATGTTTCAATTTAAGTTCATTCTATGAAACAATGACACGCCAGCAAGTACACGTGCAAAATATGCTACGTAACAATGACGTTGAATAAGTAGTCGTTTTATTTGTGTTAATGCAAAAAAATTATCTCGGGGGATAACCGATTTGTCATCCCATAAACTTTCTCTGCGGACAATACATAACAACCTGATCAGCCCGAGGTTGTTTTCAAAATACATTTTGATCTCGTTAAACTCGAGGCTTTTGCTAAATACATTACGCCAAAACTAAATAAAGTAGTCACACGATGTTTATTAATGTCAGATGGACAAATACAAATATTTAGGACGGGCTTAATGCTTGCCGAAGAAAGTTGTGGTATATTAATTCCAAGCAGATTTTAAAATATATTATTACGGAGGATAATGTATTTCATGATTTTTCTGTGTATCTGTAAATTATACGCTGATGACGCAAATCCGTGCGAGCGTGGTTTCCACCTGTCCATACATAATAAAATGCAATTTACAATCGTGTGTGATCGCACAGTTATTTATTGACATCGTCTATAACAGGGTCGTTCAACCCGTGGAAGGGTTTCAAGTGGCCTGCGCTGTATTCTTCGAAATTGAAAAAAAAAATGAGTAAAATTTCTATTTTTGTATGTGTATGTGATACAAACGATTTGTTTATTTTCCTGAAATGTCATACATAAAAGTGCCATAGTCGCTTACACACTTGGTCTCTTACTACTCTCTATGACAGGGGTGGGCAACATACGGCCCGCGGGCCGGGTCCGGCCCGCGACGAGATTTTGACCGACCCGTTGACTGTATCCAACCACACTCTGTAATGTGGTCAGACGCATCATTCATGTAAGTTGCCGATCGCTCTACTCTCACCGCACTGTCAGTGCGAATTGGCGAAATAAACAATTGCCTTAGTGAACAAACAATTGCGTTAGCACACTTGTTAAACAAACAATATAAGGTTAGAGCAGAGAGCGTTGTAAACATTCCCCACTACTGTTATCAGTTATATTTGGAATCCAAATATAAAAAGATTTTAGAAATACGATTTTATATTAAGTTTTATTAACCATGAAATATCCCAAGAAACGTAAAGTTGACTGAGAGTGTCGAGCATTTACCAAAGATTAGATAGATACCGGAGTATTTTTTGTATTAATACGTCCCGCCGAGGACTTTATTTTTACACATCTGGCCCGCCGACTAGAGAAGTTGCCCACCCCTGCTCTATGACGTTATCAGATCTGTGAGACAATCTTCTTCTATTTTATCACGTGGTCTCTCGTTCAAATTTAACACTAATCAAATATTACTTGATCAAACCTGCCGGGGGCATAAGTAATAATTGCCAATGCTATGTGTTTAGGCGTACGTACATAAATCTACTTTAAAGGTAAGATTTGCCATTACTATAATTTTACAGAAAATACATCTTTAAAGAAAAATTTCAGAGGATTCACAGAATGACAGTTTTCGTGACCTCATTATTTGGCAGCACTTACTTGTGCAAGCAAGTTTTTTCACGGATGAACCAGGTCAAATCCCCCCTGAGATCAATAATTTCTGACAGTCATATGGAAAATTGGCTTCGCATTGCCACATCGTCCATCTCAGCGAATATTGACAAACTTGTGAGCGAAAAGCAGTGCCAAACTTCACACTGAAATATCTACATGTGGAAAAAACTATGTTGACTTTACTGTATCTTCGTTTTTTTATTGTTTTTATAATTGTGAAAGTTCGGTGTGAAGATTTTGTTTGTTTCTTCGTTAGCGATTAACCTGTAGTCAGTGCAGCAAAACTAGAACATAACTAATATGTTAAGTGGCCCGCGTATTAAGTGGCCCGTGTTATTAGTAAATCACATGTGGCCCTTCGGCCAAAACGGTTGGACGACCCTGGTCTAGAACTTATCGCAGCATATTAGCGCAGATGAATTACATCAAAATGGAATCTGTGGCACGCCCTATTGCAGAAATGTCAACAAAATCCCAATATTTACATTCATTATATATGAGGATGTGAACTCGTTTGAACTGTCGACGTAGAGCAAATCCAGTTCCTGGGCTCGTGAAGCGCTTTTGGTTGCTAAAGTTTTGAGTAACATTATAAACGAACAAGTAATGTGATATTCTCACGATTTCGAAATAATAATATAAAATTGAGTGAGATTTTTGGTGTTTATCCATTACACAAAGTGGACTTCGTTTGCGGATCTCAAATGAATTTTTGAAAGTCAACCCTGCAGAAATTGATCGATAATTAGTATGGTCTTCTAACTGATCTTCTTGTTGTTGTGAAAAAAAATCGTTTTTCTCATCAACTACTGTACCGATTGTCTTGGAATTTTCAGTGTTTAAAGATTGTATTTTAGCTAGGAAGCTATTACTTTCATTTATTTCAAAAATTGCTGTGGTCTCTATTGGATTCGTGTCTTGTTTGCGCCGACGTTATCAAAATTGAAAATTGCGCACCTTGTGGCGTTTCTGCTTACGCGTACGTTGATATCTGGTGGACACGCGCAATGCTGTACCCGATAGTCCACTGTGACCGATTGCATACTCGTGCTACTTCGTTTTGGGTTTCGTGTCCAAATATTTGAGCATCGCTCTCTTGTTTTGAATGGTTAGTCATATTGGACGTTGCATTTGTCCAATGCTGCAGCAGGTTTTAATACAAACCAATAGCAACCCGAGGTTAAAATTTACTCGATCTCTGTGCTGGCGAATGCTGTAACATATTTTGAAGTGAAATAACGCATACTAGACTATTTCTATTGTCTTAAATCATTAAGATCATATACTTTATGTGGGATTTGTCCGCTTTTCTGATTATGTAACATTGCAGTATGTATACTATATTAAAATTCCAATGCCTACTCGATGTGTAGTGTGTGGTTACTGCGAATTCGCAGCGATGGTCTGCCCTTATATGGAGTCCCTAATCATGAAACAAGAAGACCTTTGGAACAAATTTCTTCAACTAATCCGTTCTGATGTCCCCATGGTAATCATAAAAGACCTTTAATTTGGAGCGACTATGTCAGTCAGTTTATTGTCATTTCCTGCATTTCACTCAAAACAAGGCTCCATATGCACAACCAAACATTTATCATATCCTGATTACATTAAGATTGAACTGGGAATCTTATCTTTTTCTAATCATCATAGCTTTTTGTGAATTAGACTGACCTGTCCGGAAAAGCCAAACTAAAATTTTGGGTTCTTTTAGTCGGTTGTTAATCCTGCTCACTGTGAATTTATGTTCTGACCAATAAAGTACGTCGTATAATAAAAATACGTCCTGTTCTGTTTGGTATATTTAAAGCCTAATCACCTATTTTAAACAAAACTCACGCTTAATTCGCCCAACTGATATAGACACTTCATACTAATGTGAGTATGTACTCGTGTGATAAACTACATCGTAAAAAAATATTATTATATTCGGATAGACCACGAGGTAGTATTTATTAAACATTGCAAAATCATTAAAATTCGTCAAGATTGATCTTACTCAACTTCGTCAACTTTTGAAACATGCTTTATACATTTCATGTTATGCATAAAAAATCTTTCTCTTTGCGCCCATTATTCGAAATCGAATAACTGGTCTTCATCTGAAAAATTCAAGGGATTACTAAATCTCGATAAAAATATTTATTTAATAAGCCTACTCTGGAATTTTAAAGTATAAGTGAGTAATGAAACAGTTTCCAAGATACCGTTGGCCTATTCGTATTTCATGCACTATTCCTAGCTGACACCACTCGGTCTAAAATCTGGAGTATATACCTAACAAACAATATGCTTGTTGTTGCACTTTTAATAATTCTATAGTACTGTATTGTATATTATGCACCATAGCTTACCAAAATCGATTGATCTTCTATGTCGTTGACTTTCTGCTCTGGACCACCATGAAAATGCAAGTTGGGGAGGCGGAGTATCGTCAATTCTGTAGTTAATATTATATACAGAATAGATGATTGCGAAAAACTCGATATGTTTAAAAACTGCTTTAGCTGTCGTTTTGTCAATCAGTTATTCCGTGAAATGGCGATCAATACGAATACATTCAGTAGAGCCAACGATACTTCAGTTAGTCTAATGGCAAATAATAAATATTAAAACTGCTGAACTATTTATCGAATAGTAGTCAAACAATGAAAAGTACTAACCTCGAATAATGTACCAAACAGGAAACTGGCATCGTTGAAAGCATCATAGTAAAAAAGAAGCAGGATACAAATGTTGTCAGAATTTTATTCATCGTTAGAATTATTTCTTGCTTGAACTATTTGTTTTAAACACTCTCGTCGTAAAGTGAGAATTGTTAATGTTTGAGGTGAAGATGTGCTTTTTATATCTTTAATCCACGTGTTAGCAAACCAGCCGATGTCAATCATCAACTGAAAATATCGAGAAAGCTGACGTTGTATTTTGGAATAATCTACAAAAGAACCTCCCTGATTCTTGACATTATATAACGTCACGTTATACTCCAGGTTGGTCGAACGGCTTTTACAATTATTTTACACATACACCACATCATGTTAAATGCACTGCTATTTTATAGTTTGGCCTCTAGTATAGATCCAATCTAATTGATCAAAATAAAGATTTGGCACGATCACTACTGAATGTTTATGTCTTTACTATACGTTCCGATACTTCGTGGTCGTTTAAAAGTTCATATTAGATATTATGAACTAATTTGCCCTTAAGGTGAATTTGTGTTTATTTACATTTCAGTTTGATTGATGCGTACTGCTCTTATATCTCAGATTATTATATTTAGAAACGTATGAAATAGGCAAAACAAAACTCACAAAATGTCGGCAAAAATGATACAAAAAACTACAGATCACCAAAGTATAATCAGTATTGAGTTTTGTATTTCAACTGGTACTATTTTGAGTAACGTGGTTTATTTGCGGATTTGGGTCTATTTCTAGAGCGCCAGTTAAAGTTCTATCTTTCTATTTATAAATACCTAGTAAGGAGAAGACGTAAAAATATTGCGTTTGCTTTATAGAAAGGTCACATAAATGCAGTATCACGGTGCGTTGACACATTAACAAGTCCGAATCAAGACGCCATGTCTTTTCCTAAATACAAGGGACAACAAGAAGGCCATTTTGTATAGGCACCGGTGTTCAGTTAGCAGACATTTGACAGTGGATTACTGTGATTTGTTTAATTTTAAACATCTAGGCTACATGTAGGCGTACAATGGTATACGTAAGGCTTTTAAGACACAAAGTGTACTTGTTGCTCGTTTTGTGAAATAGTTGTTGTTGTGAATAAACTTTTTCAAATTTTAGTGAGTCCATCGCGGCGCGATATTTCCCCCCCCAATTTTGAGAGTTCCTATAATTAATCGACATACCTTCATATAACATTTGGTATAAATTCCATTCGGTACAAATATTTTAACATTTGGCTGGAATTATGCTGACATGCCACTGGCCATAATAGTCATTTGACCTCCGTGTTCGAATATTTGAACTTTGCTCTATTCTTTTGAGGTTTCCAACTTACATACTCGTCGCATATAGTGAGTTTTGTCTGTAGTGGGTAGGATAACGATCCGAGCTGATTACTTCCCAATTTGGTCAGAGGACTGACAAACTTTGTGTATATATATAATAAATGGATCATGATGGAGCTGAGCCCGCCGCAAACCTTGCTTGTCGCCATATAGGCATATAAGTATATGTGAAAGGGTTTTTAATGAACACAAAGGGTATATACTTTTGGGTCGTTTTGCGAAATCGTTGTTGTTGGAGATGCTGTTGTTGTGATGAAATCACATTTCTGCTAATGTTTGAGACAATCGATTTCACACTTTTAATGTACTCAAGTTCTATATGGAATAGGTTGCTAGAAAGTTATTACCTTATTTTTTCCTTCGTACTTCGCGGCGCAGTATTTGACCCCAAATTTTACAAGTTTCAATAATCATTGAAAATACCTTCATTTAACATTCGGTACATATGTCATTCGATTCAATTTTTTCGACGTTTGGATGACATTGCGTGGCCATAATAGTTATTTGCATTCCGTGTTTGTATATTTCAGCATGGCTCACTTGTTATTTTTCGGCAGTCTCCAAATTACATACTCGTCGCATACAGTAAGTTTTGCCTGCGGTGAGTAGGACCAACATTCGTACTGATTACTTCTCACTTTTGAGAGAGGACTGACAAACTTTGTATATGTATACAATAAATGAAACAGGGTGAATTGAGTCCGCCCGCGAGTTATGCGGGCCAGAAAATAATCAGGTATGGAGGAAATAAACATAAAATATTTAAACATATTGCGCCACGCGTTTTGTCTGGTGAAAGGAAGGAAAATTAACTCTTACTTGTGGCTATTTTCGAGAATTGTTGCACTGTTTCTATATCATAAACAATCCTAATATATAGAATAGTAAGAATCAGGAGAGATTCTAAAACATATATTGACAAAATATTAATATGCTGAATCGCTTTATTCAGCTATCACATAAGGTTCCAATATCTTTGCAGCACCCACTTACTTTTCCACACATGAACTGCGCCCAGGACATTTACATCAGCATACGTCGGCCTAATGGCATTATAGACAGTTCCACCCAATTAAACTAAAATTTATACTCACGGACATTTACACTAATGTAAGTTTACATCGCATGTACGTTTGCACATAACGATCTTCGCATGCATAGAAATTCGCACCCAAGGATTTTCGCACCTCAAGTTAGTTCAAGCAAGAGCTGGTAACCTGGTAAAAAGCACCTCGATATGGTTGAAACTATTATGACATTACCATACAAAAACATCTTGCTTTGCGTAAATCAAGGGTCGGCAACCTTTTGTAGCTCGCGGGCCAATATTAGGGGCTGCGAGTCATTGGCGGGCCGCACATATTTTTAGAAAGTTAAAAACCTAACGGATGATACTTTTTATAATAAAAACCAATCAGTGAAACATCTCTCAAATAAAATATAGATTTATTTCCTAATTGGATTTCAAAAAATTTCATTGGAATATTTTTGGCGCCATTTGCACTTATCATCAACTTTTCTGCGATATGTTGCCATTTGTCAAATTATAAATAAATTATAGGCTCATTAAACGAGTAATTGTAATTAAATATTCTTGTTAGGTTAGAATATAATTTAGTCTACACGTGTCTCACAATAAATTCTGTTACGTAAAGAATATAAACGTTAAAACAGCTGTTTTGTTACTATAATTCAGTGAAGCGTCGCGGGCCGGATTATATTACTCCGCGGGCCGGATCCGGCCCACGGGCCGTAGGTTACGCCGTAATTATAGTTGCCATGCCACTTGTCTTGAGTGTATATCACGGTTAATGTGATATGCGCTCCATGATTGTGGAAGAAATCACATTAGCACCCACGTACATCTGCACCCTCGAACTGCATGCAGGACATTTGCACTCACGTACTCCTATGTCAACGGACATTTGAACCCATAGTTTTAGCCTTAGTATACAGATTTACAGGACATTCGGATCCTCGCTCATCTGCTGCTGAGGACATTTGCAATCAAGGTATACGCGTATATCTATTATATCACACTTATATTAAATAAACAGCACACCTGGATTAAATAAATCGGTGCGTTTGTTAATATGCTCAAATTATTGATTTACAAAAAGGTAAATTCCCGAATTTGATAGATGGATTAATATATAACTTGACTTCTGACATAGACATCTTCACCGACGCCAATTTCTTTGATATAGCCTAGGGGTGGGCCTACCAATGACTATATATAGAGTGGAATATTCGTGTGTGTTGCAGAAAAACAACAAAAGCAACACCAAATTGCCAAGCTAGCAAAATTAGATAAAAATCGATCCTATTCCACAAGTAACTGATGTAGGTATTTTATTCGGAAAGCAAGCAGAGAGTTTGTAAAAATATGACCGAAGTAACGAATAAATAAATGTATGCAAAGCGCATTTTCCAATATATACTGGAGCATTGTCAATTTTATAACTGCCTGACGATCTGTAAGGTTTGATATAAATATTTAATTGCATTCATAACATCCTTTTATTGCTTAATGTAATCACTACGAATACATTCTGAAGCTGGAGAAAAAGTAGCAGAACTTCATGACGTACGAATTTAATGGAAATGTAAAGAATAGACAATTCAATTTCAATAATTACGAACAGCATCAACAGTATTGATCTTCATATAGATGCAGCTATTGTAATTTTTAATCGAAGTCGAAGCGATCTGAAACAATAAAAATAGATTGTACTCGTTTACTTTTCCCCCATTCGATATTTTTGTGAGGAGACTCGTCAGTAACAGAGAACTATTAATCAATTACGGGTCACTAAAAATACTAAATATTTGACGTCGCGCTTACCAATTGCAATAATAATCTATCACAATACACAGTTAGGTAAAAAAAAAACAGCTCATTTCTTTGAAATTCCTCTTTATAATAATAATAATCTTGAAACAGATCAAATCTTACGTAAAGTACTTTCTATCAATTCTATTCTATCAACCTTGACATGACCTCAGGAACTTGGAAAGTTCCCGGTCGCCAGAAAGTTTAAATAATAACATAAAAAAGAAACTAAGAAATAATAATAACCGAAATGTAGCTATACACTGCTAAAATATTTCAAATTTCATTACTTAGTTACTTAGGTCATTTACCTTCGTCAACCATTTGTGAATCTTCTTCTACATTTCGCTTTTTTCGCCACCACTGAGCAAAGTCGCGGTTGAACCTGCGTCGACGGAAAAAATGAATATTTAAATTTCGCGAAAAAGAGCCAAATGAGTATGGAATGAATCCACCTAGAATGTTTTGTACTGAATTGTTGACAGAATAAGCTCCATATTAGACAAGATTGACAAATCAGTTTGAATATATATATATATATATATATATATATATATATATTTCACTCACCTCGAAAATTCAGTTTTTCCGTTTGTGTTAATATCTTCAGCAGGCAACTCTATACTCAGTTCCTCTTTTTGGCAGCTTCCAAAATGCATTTGATCAAGTAAAACCAAACAGCAAATACAGAGCACGAAAATTGACTTACTTGTATACATCGTATCTGATTAATATAGAAAAGTAGAGAAATTCGTTCTAAAAGCAATACAAGAAACTACATTACCAATGATGCAGGTAGAGGCTAAAAAACGGCAAGCACAAAGGTATATAGTTCGAGGTTAATGTTATAGGCCTATATTATTTATGGCGCTCCAGAAGTGTGTGTACCAATATGAAGGTAACTAATTTTGTTCGCCTACTTTAGTAGGTAGCCTATATTCTCTTGGCTAACACCGACAGTCCCTGAACACGCAATAGAACTAAAATAAGATAAATCGGAATAGAATTATGCCCTAACCCAAGCCTGGTACAAACACTACGGGAGTATCTTATTTATATATCTTAGCAAATTTTGCGTTTAAATGAATGTGAAAAATATTTTTGTTTTACTTGGGTATATATAATATTATATATTAAATTTATACATTTATTTTAAACATTATGTATGTGTAAGAGTTGTACATATCCGATGTCCATGTACCTTATGTGAACTCCCTATACTCTGGCACGGTGC